ACCTCGTGCAGCCAGGGAACTGAGTCCAAAGTCTCATGTCCAAGTGACGGGCCCGGTGATGGAGTTCAAAGCCCTGTGGCTGTAGCCTGCCCCCCACCCAGCCTGCTCCTCCAGCTTTTGTGTCTCCAGAGGGTGGCAGGGCCCAACCACTGGTGGCGGCCCCAGGGGAGGGGCCGCTGCTCTGCCCCTCCAGGAGGCTCTGGCTGCAAGAAAAGCCCCTGATGGCTGCATGTGGCCACTGTGGCTACATTTGAGAGAAACAGGAAATTTGTGATTGGGAGCAACAATTAAAGAGGGTGGGGGAGGGAATTATGTTTGAAAACTAGCTGCAACCAAGGATTCAGAATCTGCATTAGCACAATCAGAGCAGTATCAGATTATATTTAACAAAATGTAATATATCACAGTGTCAAGAGAGTTATTTTTCTTAATTCAGCTTTTTTCTTAAGTTACAAGTAAAAATGAATTTTGGTCAAAGATATCATAATTAATTCACTCCTACGCTATAAACAGTGAGAGAAAATCTGTTCTGCTTTCAATAGTTCATTCACCTACACTTGAGAAGTGATCCTGTGTATTTTTAAGCATTGCAGCAAGTCACTCAGGTTGTTAAAATATGTTACCACAAGATTAAAATGTTTCTCCAAGAAGTATTATCCCTTCCATACTGACTTCAAAGATCCAGGGTATATGTCAATGTGCAGACATATTACAGTAGGTTATTTAAAGTTATTTTTAATATACTACTCTGCCAATATAAAACTGCCTCAGTTTGAAGAGAAGTTTAAAAAGCCACAAGCCTCAAATCCAAAAAGGGCAGTTACTGGTCAAGTAACTGCAGAATTTTAATTATTAACTACTAAAAGACAGTTAAATAAAACTCCCGATTTGTGAATTTTTCAGAATGACCGATGTACATTATTTCCCGTCATGTTTATAAATCTAAATTATGAAAACTACCATGAAAGAAATTAGAATAAATTCTGTTTTACAGCCTTTAGCCTCCCTTCTAAATCTAGAGACACCTGCATTTTAAAAGATCTTTTATTTTAAAGGCTCCAAGACAATTAGCATAAAAATGTTATGCAAAACATGTAAGAAGAAACATGATACAAGAGTGGGAGGGGAAAAGGTGGGGTGATATTAAGCTGTATATAACATTTTCTCTGAACAGAGTAATGTTTGGTCTTGAAGAAACATACTTGAACTATATATAATTCTTTCCTATAGTTTATTATAACCCGATTCTCATTATCCACCTCAGTTTCTACAAGGTGCAATAATAAGGTATACATTAACAGAACGCTGTTTGAAGTAGCTTTAGAGTTCTGCACTCGAGGACAAAATTCCATGACTCAGATTCATATAATCAAAAATGCAAAATGCTTGCCTCTTAATATCATGTGACAACTTCAAAGAGGAAGCTGTTTTGTTCAATGAATTCCTAAAAATGTAAACATTAGAAATCAAAATCCTGTATTATTTTAGTACTATATAGTCGCACCACCTTAGAATCCAATTTTGCCTAGGCCTAAAAAACCTCAAGGCAGACCAGTTTTCTTTTTCCATCCATTTAGGGTTAACATCCTGCCCCTCCTCTTTCCATTTCATGAATGGGGAAATATGAAGGGTTGTTTCACGTCACTGAACCAGATGAAATTTAGGAAGCAGAACTTGGGATCAGTAGTGCATTAGGAAGCACACTCCCTCTCATATAAAAGCTGCAGTTAAAACTGTATACCTTAGCTAGATTGTATATTTACATTAGATAAATATACATAATCATTAAATATACTAAACCATTTTTAAAGACAAATATTTCATTATACACAGGAGTCACCTTAAAAGTGGATTTTTCCCCCCCCCAGGCAAACAAACTGAGTGAGGAGTAGGATTTAAGAAGGGGGTGGGGGGAGGGCAGAATGGGAGAGAATGTAAAGCTCAGCCAAAAGTTTGCAAATGTAGTAAACACATTAATTTGTTACAGAGACATATCACACTCCTGGTCAGACTTAAGAGGAAGGAACCTTCCTTGTCCAAAATAAAAAAATTAACAATTTTAGCTTTTTTGTTTAAAATCCTGTCACAAAATCCATCACTTTGCGGAGAGAAACGCTATGCTTTCTTATTAAATATTAAAATCAAAACCTTACCATAATAGAACATGGCAAAATTCTGTTTAGTGAGTAGGGACTTTATTAATGATCTGTGAAAATATTAAACCATTTTTGTAAGCCATGTTCTTGTTATGGTCCAGATATACACTCTGGATGTGCTGAATGAATGTTAAGACCCCATATCTAACTTGGATCAACAATTTGTAAGTGATGTAGAAACAGATGTAGGAAATTTATCTGAACTAAAATAAGTAAATTATTGTATTATACATTAGTTTGTTCACCACTGAGTCTGTCTGAGGGCCACCCATAAATGCACACACACCACCCACCTCACTTCTTTATGTACCATAATTATATTATGCTGCTTTTAGGAGGAAACTGGCTTTTGGACCTTGTTTTGAAGGAGTATATATTTTTAATAGTTAAAGGGTCACCATCAACTTGAAATCTAGCAATATCATGTACTGCAAGCAGCTCAAGCAAGTGTAAAGTTTTATGAACACAATCTCTTCTGTTTTTAAAAGCTTTTGCCACTATATGAAAGACTTACATAACAACCCAACTGAATGTACAAGGGAAACATTGAAACCAACTGTATGCAAAGTGCTGTCAAATGCATAAAATAAACAAAGTGGGAGGCAGAAGGGAGGAAGAAAAAAAAAGCTTCCAATCACAGTAATTTTAGATATTTTCTGTTACACTTATACATAAAATGTTTCAGACAGAAGTGCAACTTTTTAGACTCCCTTTAAATATTTTTTATATGTAAGATTAGTAACATGGCCAGAATTGGCTCCTCTGATCTTTCTCCCACTATGTGGGAAATTATACTTTACTGAATATAATTACAACATAGCATCCTTACAGGACTTTAAAACCTAAGATCAGTAGGATTTTTCATCAAATTGGCTGTATCAACCAAAATGCTTTTGATTTAGTGGGCAGATCTTTTGAAGTTAGAGGTCTTTGGCACTTCAGAAAAAAGCTTTTTTTTTTTTTTTGGATTGGCAACTTTCAGAGTCTTCTAAATTTGATCCCAACCAAGAAAACAAAGCAAAAACAAAGCAAACAAGGCAAACCACACATTTCTGAGAAGCCCCAAGCAGTGGCTGCCAGACTTCAAATAGTATGCTATCTGAGTCAGTGTTATAGCTTCCAGTATTAAAGGCTCTCAAATTTTAAATTCATACATAATATCTTACAAATAAATTTAAACATATGTACAGACTTTAAGGTGAAGATAGAAAATAGATTATTCAACATTAATTACAGTAATAGACTACATAGAGGTACAAAGATTGCTTTGCATTCCCAAGCAGTGATAAGTATAGGATAGCTATTAATACCCTTTCCCCTGTTTTTTCTTTTTCTCTCCTCACTGTTTACAAGAGTGGACAAAATACCACTGTTCAACTATGACTAGATATTTCATCTGAGGAGTCATAAGTTACAAACTACAAATACCACTTTTGCAAAGGAAGAGGTAAAGATATTGCTGTCTGCCATCTACTGTTTCCTTCCCTGCGCAGGAGAAGATAATCAGAAGTGGACTATCATGAGGGGCTAGAAGAGAATAGTATATACACCTCAAAATATGGATTGTGCTTCCAAGGTAAAGTCTTGAAGTTCTAGGATTTAAGAAATACAGTGTATGGTAGGACATAAATACTGACAGATGCTTCATGAGGTGGAGAGTGTGGATGGAACCACAATAAGAGATCCAGCTGAGGAACTACCATTTCCTACTGCCTCCAGAACAGCAGAGAGCTTAATATTTCTTTTCCCTCATCTGCTTAAGGGTAGTCAGACAAGAGTTGTCATTTCTCCCAGGATTGTTTTGTTTTTAATGTATACATTAGAGATAAATATAATTGATACTTTAAACTGGTTAAGATTCAAATCAGGGAAACCTGGCTACCCAGCTTTGAAGTTTGCATTCTGTTTCCCGATCCTGGGTACAGACTTCAAAACCTGCTGATTGCTCCTATTAATACAGTTATCTGGCTTCCCATAGGCTGAATGGCTCAGCAGACCCTCAGGAGGAGATACAGGAGAGTGGGGATTTATGGGCCTACCAACCCCTCATATCCAAGATAATGAAGTTGGAGGGTAGGGATATCAAGGAACAGAATTACTAAACTTTGCAGGAACTTAGCTTCTTGACATCCTGCTTTCCATAAACTTCTTTTTTAAACCCTCAGAAGATGGATTCTCAGCAGGTTAGAGAGATATCAAGAACAGAAATCTCGGGAGACAAACTTCTGGGCAACCTAGAGGTCTGGTTAACCGAGTTTCAGAACATAGAGGTTTGACTGTACTTGAAAAGAGCAGGTATCCACATACCATCCATATAAGAACATAAAGTTCATTTCTTTTCACTTTAATAAAGTACTGTATTTGAAATCCAAATTGGATTTTTAAACTCAATTTAGTGGTTTTTGATCTTTTCCATTATCCCATGTTACAAAAGAAGAAAATTTGGGATCCCACCTGTCATAAACAAGAGTAGGGTGATCATGACCCTAGACTGAGAAGCCATGATTTAGAGCATGATCAAGGTTTTATCAAGTTAAAATATTTTATACAGTCCAGCTTGACGGTAGTTAGACAATACATTGACCCGCTGAGCAAAATATTAAAATATAAGAGTGGGCTAGATAATGCTAAGCTCTTCAGGCCAGATACTGACTTTTGCATTTCTTCTATGCCTACCACGCTGTTGTGCAACCAGAAACAACTTAAAATAAGACATACAGAAATTTACAGTAATATTTCCCCATTTTAAAATATAAGTCAATTGAACACTATGTTTATATCAATTGTGACATCGAATTCCTGTACCAAAACGTTTCATATGAAAACATTTTTAAAGTTACAAACCTTTTCTTGCAGAGTTACACTTCACACCATCAGATCTGGTGAAATCTATGCTTACATAAGCTCCACTGTCCAAATTTGAAGTACCATTTTGGAGATGGCAAGTTGGTGTATTAGTGCTTGCCTCACAGTTCATAGAATCATCACATAAATTCAAAGCTATGTAGTTTAAGCCATTCTGAAATCCAGTTGAGGTATCCCTGGACATCTTGCTTTCGTGACCATCAGAAATGTTTTCCTCAGGTTTCAACCAAACATTGTCAAATGAGGCAGAGCTGTGTCTTTTGCTACTATCAGTAAAGAAAGAAGAAGAAGTAGTTACAGCCCCAGTAGAAGAGAATGTTTCAGAACTGTGCCTTCTTCTGCCTTGTGGGTCAGCTCGAATCACCTTAGGTCCCATGGGAGAATCAGAGCTAGGAACAGAGAAGCTACCGCTACCTGAATATCCGTCAACAATGCACAGTCGATTTACAATGGAAGAAGGACTATCGATCTTTATACCATTGCTGGATTCTGCGGTAAAAGGCCTAAGTGGTGTCGTTGCCATGTTGAAAGTCATCTCTGTGTAATCATCAGCCCTACTACTTGTACTGCTAACACAAGCAGTATCAAATGAAAGTCTAGCATAATCATTTGGCTGGTTTCTGGGGATACTGGAACTTGCATAAATTGAAATATCTGTTAAAGAATTTGACAGTTCCTTTGATACTTTTGGTGACTGCACATCAAGGTCAACACTCATGTAATCAGAAAGTGGCGACTGTCTGTGGTCACTACTCGATCCTAGAGATGATGGAGATCCTTCTGCAGATAAAGAATATGGTGTATTACTTGCTTTTTCACTGAAATCAATATTTATGTATTCACCAGGGCTAGTTGGCTCAGGTGGAACTGTTCGATCGTACATTCTTGGTATAGTATTACTTCCTCTTGTACCTAGGGGAAGTCTTGTAGGCCTGGTAGCCCTGTTCTGTGCAAGTCCTTCATCTGACACTTTCACAGCGGATGATTTAGAAATGCCATTAGCTAACGGTTCACTGTTGACACATTTGACATTTTCATGTTCATCATATAACAGTTTTCCAGGTGAGGACATTGGAACATATTCATTATGATCTCCATTTTGTCCTGATAATGTCTTAAAGCTTCGTGGCAGAGAGAAATATGAACTGAAGCCTTTGGAAACAGTGTTGGTATGAATACAATTTGAATCACTGGGCTGTTTTGGAACTGCTGAATTACCAGGTGACATATCCATATACTCGTTTGTCACCTTTTCATTACCCCCTTTAGAAATAAATCCAGCCAATGGACTTCGTACAGGTGAAGAACTAGCCCTGGGAAACATCATCATATATCCTCTGGAGTCCACCTGAGATGACGACCAAGAATTACTAATTTGTTTGGGGACAGACACACTTTTAGGAGTCATTGGCAAATAATCATTGTTGCTTGTGAGTGAAGACGCAACTCCTGGCATCATTGGCATGTATCCATCATCCCTGGTTTTACTTCTGCTTTGGTTACATACAGAATCAAGGGTAGCATCACTGTAGTCAGGTTCATGGCTCTCTTTTAATTTTGGTGATTCCGAACAAGGTAACTGTCTGTGCCTTCCTGCAGAATCTTCATCTAAAGAAGCCGTGGTTTGTGTTGTTTTCTGCTGCACTGTTATAGAAGTTGGTTTAGTCAGAGAATAAGTTCTTTTTCTGAAGCATTTTTCAGCTTCCATATAGTCATCCCTTGAGCTATCATCCGTTTGCTGTTTATTCATGGACATGTATTCACTTAAACAATTCTCTTCTCTGATAGGTGGTGTGTTTCCCAAGGAATCTGGAGTATTACTTCTGACACGAAAGTACCTGAAATCCCCAGGGCTAGAGCCATATTCATCAGAAGAAATAAAGCCCCCATCACTTGGGGACCCACAGACAGATGAACTGGAAGGCCTGGTTAGTGTATCTGAGGCAGAGCCATGGCCACTACTGGAAGAAACACTAATGGGGCTGGTGGTGGAGGGGAAATGAGACACTGGTAGGGAGGCAGACCTGGTATGATAAGAAGAGGTGAAAGCTGCTCTGACATACCTTCCACTCCCTTCTTGCCGGCCCAAGTTCATCCTTGCAGTGTTCAAATGGATCAGACTCCCAGTCACTGATCTGAAAGGTCTGGTCATTGTCCCTTCCCCTTCACTAGATGTTCTGAAGCGGTATGAACTGCTACTCTTGGTGGTGGGCGGAGTCCCCCCAGTAACACACTCAGTTCTGGATCTTCTCTGCAAGCCAGTCTGGCTAGGAGGCAGGTTGCCCAGATGCCTCCTAGTGGTGATAAAGGAGATAGGATTGGTACCACTGCCACCACCAGATGACTGGCTCTTGCTGCGGGGCCTGAATTCTGTAAAGGCCTTGAGAGCTTTCATGGTCTCTAGGAAGGTCTCATGCATATTCTGGGCAACTACTGAATCATCCACTTGCATCCACAGTTCACCAGGCCCAATGGAAGCAGATCTGCCCACCTCAATAAAGAAGAAGTTCTCTGAGTGCCCACAACGGCGGATGTTCATTAGCTGCAAGTGGACAGCAGGTACCTCTGAATTCAGCTTTACTAGGTAGATAGCCTTGCTAGATAGGCACAACCTGTACACACCAGTCAGGTTCTTTGTCTGCCCCAGTCCCTTGGGCTTCACATTAACCTGCCACACTTCTTTGTATATTGTGCCTGGTCTAAGCGCAGTTCCATAATGTTCATCATCCTCATCCATCTGCTGATCTGTCTGGTCCTCCTGTTCTAAGAACCCCCTCTTGCTCTGATTCATGAGCTCACTGATTGCCTGGTACCAGGCCTCCTGCTCCACCTCATTCTCAGCCAACATGGCAAAGTATTCATCCTTGGTATAAAGGGCAATGATGTACTTATGCTTGGCATCTGCCCTCCGGCTGACTGTGAAGCACTGGTACAGGGGGATCACTCGCTTGGGAGGGGGGCAGCAGAGGACGGCAGACCCACTAGCAGCTGCCGCTGCCCTCAGGCTGCTCTTGAACTTCTTCTCACTGTCATAGTATTCAAGCCTCGCTGGGGCCAGGTGGCTCTCAGCCCGTAGCACGAAGTAGCGCTTGTGGCCATGCTTCTGCTTCCTCAGGTAGCCACATTTCCTCACGTCATCCCCCACAGGAGCCACGGAAGGAGCAGCTGGCAGAGGAGCTCCTCGTGCTGTGGGAGCTGGCTGGCCACCTCGCCCACCAGAGAGGGCCCCTCGCCCTGTGGCAGCCGCAGCAGCGGGCACCTCCTCCTCCTGCACCAGGCACAAGGAGGCGCTGGGCGATCTTTTCAGCAGCAGCAGCAGGTGGTGGGGCTGAGTGGGCGGGTAGGGGCCGCTCTCGCCCAGCTCCTGCTGCTCCTCAGCCGTAGTAGCAGTCCTAGGCACTCCAGCCCCGTGGCAGGGTGCGACCCCTCCTCCAACGCTCCGGGTGCCCAGCTCCGCCTCGGCGCCCCTGGCCGCGGTACTATCACCTCCTCCGCCCGGGCCATTCATCCCACTCGCCATCTTAGGGGCCAGCGAGCTGGGGTAGGGGGGAATCCGCCCTCACAAGGGAAGCGTCCTCCAAGCCCGCCTGGACATGAGGCGCCGGAGGGCTCGGCTCGGCTCGGCTCCGCACGCGAGCTCGCCAGTGACTGCAACGCTTGCCCTCTCGCTCGCCGCTCCCGACCGGTCGCAACGCGCCGGGCTCTGCTACACTCACTCACACAAGCTGCCTCAGCGGTACCACGGCGAAAACATCACGTGACGCTGCAAGGGCGGGGGGAGGGCGAGTACAGGGGACGGGGCGGGGCTTCAATCAGCCGGGGGCGGGGTCATCTGTGTTCCAGTGTGTAGAGTGAGGGTGAGAATGGAGAGCCGAACGGCCTCTCCCTGGAGTGACAGAGGAATAGACCAATAAGAGACGGAGACAGCTCCTAGGTGGCCCAATCAGGAGTCGGGAAAGGTGGAGGGTCTGTGCGCAATCCGAAAGAGGCGAGGTTCTGATGGATCGGCAGCGCTTTGGACCAATGAAAGTCGGCAACAGCTTCTGTCTGTCGGCGATGTGAGCGAGACGAGAGGGTGAAAAGTTAGGCGGAGCTTAAGGTGACTGGCAGATGGATGGACAACTTGTGTATTGTCCAATCAGCGCTTCACACACAGAGATACGGGAGACGGAGGCGGGATTTGGCGTGTATGTGGAAGAGTGAGTACAACGAGAGGTGAGGATTTAGAATAATTAGCAGCCGGATATGCCAGTCAGCGTTTAACCGCCTACTGCCCCGTCCAATCAGCACCTCCAACTAATGTAGCGTATTCCAACTATTTTTTTTGAAAGGAGAATTTCCCTCCCCCTCCGCTTGGTTTATAGTTTGGAACCAGCAGTGATTGGCTGCTGGGGGAGCCAACCACAGACAGTGGGGAGGGAGGAGGTGGCGGGGGTTGGGGTTGCTGACGCTGCCGAGGAAGTAAACAACCCGTCAGCGCGCGAGCGACCGTTGGGGCCGAGTGCAAAGGCAACCGTCCCTGCTGCTTCAGACAGGGGAGGGGGCTGGAAGGAAGCCCCTTACACACGGGCTCAAGAGCACACAGCCGTAGCGTCAAGGGACGGAGAGCGTGTCAGAGAAGGGAAGAACAAGGAGGGCCCTTCTTCTCTCCCACCCGCAGTGCCCATCCCCACATCCCGACGTACATAGTATATTCATACCAGACATACACGGAGTTCACCCCCCATAGGCTCACCACCCACACACAGTGCACACCTACCCACAGGCTCACCTCCCACAGACACAACGCATACCCCCATAGGCACAAAGCATCCCACCCACAGGCTCACCGCCCATACGCACAGCGCACCTTATCTACAGGCTCAGCCTCCCACACACATGGCACACCCCCCATGCACAGAGCACACCCCCATGCACACAGCGCACTCCACCCACAGGCTCACCCCCACACACACAGCTCACCCCACACTAGGGTGACCAGATGTCCCGTTTTTAAAGAGACAGTCCTGTTGTTTGGGACTTTTTCTTATATAGGCACCTATTACCCCCCCCACACACACACACACACCTCCTGTCCCGTTTTTTTCACAGTTGCTATCTGGTTACCCTACCCCACACACACATGGTTCTCCCCACACACAGGCTTGCCCTTTCCATGCACACAGCGCACCACCCACACACACCCCACAGGCTCACCCCCACACATACACAGCACACACCCCAGGCACACAGCGTACCCCATCCACAAGTTTGGTCTCCCATGCACACAGTGCATCTCACCAACAGGCTCAGACCCCCCCTTCCATGCATACCTCACCCGCCCACTCAGACTCCCCAAACACACAGCGCACCCTACCCACAGGCTTGCCCTTCCCATGCATACAGCACACCCCACCCACAGATTTGCCCCCGACACACACAGCACATCCCACAGATTCACCCCCACACATATACACATACATAGTGCACACCATCCCATAGGCCCGACCACCCCCATACACACACACCCCTACAGGCCCACCCGCTTTATAGACACCACCACCCATATATGCACAATGCACACAATCCCCTAGACACCGCCCCCCCCCCCCCCCCCCCCCCATACACCCAATACACCCCACCTACAGAAAACTGAGCCAGCTTTTTCAAATGCAAGGTGAAATGGTTCCCAAGACACCAAATGTATACTGTACTACTCGGAGGCCACCAGTACTTCCAAGTAGGCCAGAGCTTAAACCAAGGGTAGAAGTGCCACAATGAATCTCAGCAAAATCTTTCCTCAGCTCAGGAACTTGCTGCCCTTAAAAATGACATCATCACACCTCTGGTAAGGGAGTTTCAAGGGCACATTGGCATGGTGAAGTGCTGTGATACTGGGCAGTCCTGTTTTAACACGATGTAGCTGTCTATTGATGCTGTGCTAAGAGATATTGATATGAGTCACCTGTTTTGACATAGTGTATCATTGTATTTACATAGTCTGATACACTTTTGATAGTGTGCCACAATTTTGCACTGTATAGCACTGCATTAATCAAATGCAGTCATTTTTAGGCACTTGTCACTGTTTTGACCCAATGTGGCACTTTGGATGCTGTGCTGAAGTGTACAGATGTATTGTGTTCTAACATGACACAATGCCATTTCATTACAGTGCAACACCCTTGTGATACACAGCATCTCCATTTTGATACAGTACCCCCTATCATTTTGATGCAGTTGTCACTATTTTGAGGCAACACAGTACCAGTTTGCCATAGTACACAGGTGTCCATCCTATGGCCTGCAGGCCGTACATGGCCCACCAAAGTATTTCATAAGGCCCATGGCCTGCTTCAACACATATACTAACGGCCGACTCATTAGCGTTTTATTGTCATATTTACATCATTTGAGTTTAATTATGTGTTCTTTACTGTTTTTTTCCTGTTTTCTATAATTCTGATACACTTTTTATGCACTGATTTTTCTTTATTTTTAAATAGACAATACTGTACATACATACGAATTACTGTACATAGGAGAATCTGTTTGGCCCTCACAAGGTTGTGCTCAGGTTTATGTGGCCCTCCTGTGTAATAAGGTTGAGCGCCACTGCCATGGCACAATGACATTTTGACCCTATTTATTGCATATATTATGATATTTTGCTGCAATGTCTTGAAGCTATATGACATGGCATGTCAATAACATAACCTAATGAAGCTTTGATTCAGCTCCACAAAGTACTGACAAAACATGACAGTAGAATAAGTGAGAAGCAAGCACTGAGCAAATGCAAGAAGACAAGTTCTAAAAGGCAGCATTGGGGTCCCTTATCTTGGCATTTATTTTACAATCAAGTCATGAATTGACATTTGTGTCACATACATTTCAATTCCCTCTTCTTCCCTCTTGGCTAGATAATATGTCTCTCTGAGTTTAAATAGAGGACCAGAGATTGTCAGAGAGCTGGTTACAGCTTCCTGATTGAAAAGCTTCACCCTACACCAGCTGAGAACAGTGGATCTCTTTCCCACCCCTTTCCTGCCTACATCATGTCCCCTTACTCTTTCAATACATCCCTTTCCGGGGCGGAGGGGGCAGTCAGTCAGTGTAGGAGCAGGATGAGCCAGCTTTACACCATCCAAGAGTTGCACAATCATGCCCATAAAGTGTAACAGCCAAGAACAGAGACAATTTCAATTCCTCCTTACTATTGTGATTCAGTAATGTGGTATTTGCCTAACAGTGGAGCAGAGGCAAAAGTGTTTCCTGCTAGTTTCAAGCATTCCATAGAGTTCTGAAGTACAGACAGTTGTCATTCTCATCTTTAATATTAATTCCCAGAAAGAGACTATGTTAAAGTATATTTAGAGTTAAGGTTGAGTACATATCAGTGATATAAGGGTAAAAACATTCCTTCAGAATATCTGCTTATATCTGCTTGTTTATATCTGTTTATGATCTGCTGCAAAGATTATTTTCCTAACCTGCCACTTTGACCATGTCACTCCTCATTTGCATCCTTCCACTGTCTCCCCCTTCTCTATTACATCAAATATAAGCTACCTGTCTTCAGTTTCAAGGCCCTTCACTGCCTATCCCCACCCTACCAATCATCTCTCATTCATTATCAAGATGTCAGCTCCTGCCTGTGATTGGCCCATGATGCCAGCCTCCATCGCCCACTTGTTAAATTTTCAAACAAGCACCTTCATGCTTTTTCTTATGCTTGGGAGGAGCTCCCCGTAAACATCCACACAGCTACCTCATTATCCTCCTTAAAAATCCTCCTAAATCTTTTCTTTTCCGTGATACCTATAAAAAACTTGACAGTGATTAGGCTGCTGGTGTGCTGAGACCAATAGCTGACCAATATTCTCTCATTGTTTCTTTGTACTCTCCCATGTATCTGTTCATATCCATCTGTTGTCTCTTGTCTCACACTTAGATTGTAAGCCCTCTGGGGCAGACACAATTTTTTTGTTCTATCTACAGTGCCAAACACAGTTGGGTCCTGGTTCATGACTAGGGTTATTAGACTATTGGCTATTAAGCAAGATGATCAGGGATGCAACCCCATGCTTTGAGTGTCCCTAAATCTCTGACTGCCAGAAGCTGGAACTGGATGACAGGGGATGGCTCACTTGATAATTGTCCAGTTCTGTTCATTCCCTCTTAAGCATCTGGTATCGGCCACTGCTGAAAGACAGGTACTGGGCTAGATGAACCATTGGTCTGATCCAGTATGGCCATTCTTATGTTTTTATGCTAATCTTAAAATATTCAAACATGATCAGATATGGAAATTCACATCTAAAACACACAAACAACTTTAACTCTGCCCTGTAGTGATGTCATGCATTAACCATACAATTATGATTAGTGCATAATCATATTTGTAAGCTCAGATTACATTTAAACTGATTTGTAAAGACTCATTCAATGTTTTCATTTTTTTTCTCCTGGTGTCATTATAGGATGGAGTTAAGGTTGTTTGGATGTCTGAATTGTGCAGTTCTAAATCTTAACATCTTTGCATTTCTTTTGACACTCTGTAAATGCTGTTTGAATATGAAAGAATATTTTACAATTATTTTTAATAATATATATTAAAGAGTTTGAAGCTGTGGGATAAGAAGCTCTCTCTTTTTGTAGGCTCCTCGTAGCTGGTTCCTGAAAGATATATGTGGGAGAAAGTAAGGAAACACTTTAAAATAAAGGATTTATGTTTTTTTATATTTTCTT